CAAAAAACGTTGAAACACCTGAATTTGGTCGAAACGTTGAGCATTTCATCTGAAATTTTGGATAGTTTGCATCTTATTGTATCGCCTATCTCACAATCGGACCCCTTATGACTGAAATCAGCAAACATCACACCTATGAGTGGGAATGATTCTAAAACAAATCCGCAAAACTACTATTCCATCTCATCAACCTGCACAATTTCTTAGGTATTGAAAAAAAAGGTTAATAATAGCTTGACCAAAGCCATGAAGAATACCAATGTTAAGAGGGTAGATGCTCTACTGGAAATTATGAAGTGAATGAGTTCGAGAACCTTAGAAGTGGTGTTTAAGGACTCAGGAAATCTGTCAATGCACAGGGATGGTAATTTAGGGTGCCCTCAAAGGTATACCATTCAATCTTAGCGATTCCATAGCCTTCATACCAATTAGGCGAAATGTGAAGTCATGACCCATCTCGACCATTCCTCTATGAATTGCGTTCACCGAATTCAAATCGTTCCTGTTCTGAAACTTGCAACGTTGTCGATGAAAGGGTTACCGTTTAGGTGTATCAGCACGCCATCTTATGTATTGCTTCCAAAATTGCTGATTGAAAGTCTTCATTTCGTTGAGTGACTATAATTCTACTTGCAGTATAACTAAAGCAGGTTTGATCAAAAATCGCCTTGGTAGAACTCAGTTCAGCCAGCTGTCAATGATTTTCACATTCAGATGTACGATGAGTGGGAATAATCCTACAATAACCAGCTTACTGCACCAATCGATCATGGATTAGGAGAGCGGAACAGGAAATGGGTTTGTTGTTAGGCTTATTGTTAGCGTTCCTTTCGAATGAATCATTTCAGTGGTTCTCTCAGTGAAATGTTTTTATTTTGAACATTTTACAATGAGAATTCAGTTCAGTTTATGCAACAAAGACATTATAGTTTTCTAAAATTTAACTCTGACAATAACAACAGTAACAAATTAACAACAACGAACTGTTAGAATATGATTTTGTACTGATAATATTCATTGTCACTATTCTTGATTTCATAAAACCCATCAAAAATGAATCTTTGAGCTTCCTTTGAAAAACATTCCTCCAGTAATTACAATACAACTGTAAATTCGAACTCACTGAAAAACTGATAGGTTAATGAGAAATCACAATTAATTTGCAGAGGTAATGAGGAAAACAATGATTTTTTGTGAAAGGAATCCTAACTGTCAAATGATATGACCTATTGTGCAATGATGGTATAACGAAAGCATGAAGAACAGCGATAATAAACATATCATCAACAACAATAACAACAATAGTAACAACCCAACAAAAAGTATCAACAAAAGTAACAATAACAACAATCAGTGCGAGTGTTCAAACATCGCATCATAAATCCATTTTCTCAGTGATATCCTCGATGAAGTGCACAGCACGTTCTCGCACCTGCAAATCGATGCAAATGAAAATATGCAACGTCGTCAACATTTTACTATCATAAGAACATTCACTGTAATTATTCAGCTGAACTTATTTACAAAATCACCAACCAGTTTCTGCTGCTCTTCACTTCCGAACTTCTGTTCCATGTCGATCCATTTCTTGAAGAATACCCTCATTTTATGAGTTCCCAATTTCAGTGAAGTGACACGATCGAAAACTTGCCTTAATTATCAACATCATTTGCTTGAGATCGCTGAGAAAAAGAAAAAAATTTTACTTTCTCATCAAAACTGTATAGGCAAAGGAAGAGTGAACTAAACTATATTATTTTACTATAATTATAAATTCACTGATCTTATCATTATTCCGTTTGAGAAATAACACTAAATTTGAGAGATAAGATTAAAGTATATTAGAAGTAAAATACACATTTAAAATATTCATACAGATATAATTATAAAATCACCTCGCTTCACTAATCTTATCATTCTTGATCAGCATATCAAGATAAACCGACCAAACATCAACTTTACGCGGATACGCACTGAGAATACTCTCAAAGAGCGTCTTCCCTTGTTCACTATCTCCGTATTTATATTCCATTTGTGCGAATCGATTTATCACATTCACATCTGCAATGAATAAAGTGAACAATTTTCACTACATCAAAAACCTCAAAGATCTGCTGTTGCTGCTGCTCATTTTATTTTACGAAACAATATTTTGACTAGGATTAAACCGTGATCTTCACTGATCTCTTAATAGATGCTGTAGATTTATCAAAAACATTCCAAAAAAAACAAATATTCACAATTGCGATGACAAGTGTAATTTCATCCAAAGTCTTCAATGTTGTTCTTCCCAACCAGCGCCTTATCAGTAACATCTATTTCAACACATTACTGTGTAATAAAATAAGTCATAAGCTTACGATGCTTTTGCGGTAGAGATTTAGTAGCTCTTTTCAGTAAGTCTCTGGCTTTATCAAACCGCTTCGTTTGCATCAAATGTTGCCCATACACGAACCACACATCCAAGTCGTCATGTCGGAACTTCTTCAACATTTCCTCCAATAAATTGTCCACTTCCTGAAAATGGATTGTTTTCGATACATTTTATTTTCATGAAGATATTTTATTTTAATTGAGATATTTCATCTTCACTCATATGATTACGATATTTCAAGATATATTAAAATATTATATGACTAAGATGAGATATTTTATTTTCAAAACGTCACGAAAATCTTCAATTTAATGCATAATTGCTAAACAGCACAAACTGATATTTAACAAACCTCATCTTTGTGAACGTTTTGATAGATTCGTACCATCTGTTTGTACATTTTTAATGCGTCTGAGTTGGTGATCGCCCGATCAAAAACAGACTTCAACGAATCAGCATTACCAAACGACAACTCTAAATTCAGATAGGCCGTCCAAACATTGAAAATCTCTTCTTCTTCACTGAAATAATGATGCTGTTAACATTACTGAGTTCATTGAAAAACTGTTTTGCTCAGCAACGTAATTTATTTCATAGCAAAGGAACAGTTTCATTAAGAACAAAGATAGGTAAATTAGCACAAATAACTATCTAAAATTGCGATTGACCAACAAAGTGAAATCTTCTGCATGAGATTCAAATTTCTCCAGTTTCGCTCAAGAATGCATCCGATAAATGAATGCTTTCGAAAAGATATCCTTTTGTCGTTCAACCATATAACTTTGAAATATGATCCAACTCATTGTGCGATACGTTGTTGATCGCAAATTTGATAAAGTGAAATCGAAAAATGTAATGCCGAATCAAAAGAAACCAACCGATAGTTGATAACACTCAGCGCTCTCTCCGCAATGGCTCTTGCTTTCTCGATATCTTTTTGGCTCACGAAGAACGATATGTAACTGAATTAGCAAAATCTGTTATTCTGCGCTTCGCAATCGTTATAAAGACGATTCTTCAGAAATCTACGCAAACATATTCGATCACTCTGTTATTGAAATAACTGACTTTGAAAGATTTAAAGGCAGAAACTCTTCCACCCACAACAAGAACACTGCCAAAATATCACAAACCGTATCCAGAGTTCTGATGAATTCGGACTTCCGGTTAAAAGTCGATCGAAATCCGCTTGTGATTCCGGTTGAACATTCTTTTCAATGAGTCGTTTCTCTCGTTCCGAAAGCTCTTTTTCTTTTGCAATTTCACGCTCTTTCTTCGCTGGAAAAATAAATATGAGTGACTGATAATATATCTGTTCCAGTCAAACTGGTTTATTCCTAGGAGTAGACAAGAGCGGTTTCAAAAAGTATGCGCACAACGAAATAGAACAGCTTTCGAAAAAATAAAGTTTCCTGGCAATGGAGAAAACGCGATAAAAGGAATATCGTGAATTCATGAATGATCTGAACTTGAGACAAATCATGTTAATCGCATATTGAAAGTAAACGGGTGTCAACTGAATTTATGGAGTGAAATTTTTTAAAGAGTTGTCAACATTTGAACCCATATTACTTGCTCTCCAATCAACCCATAATGACGAAACCTAACAATAAGGATTCAGATAATGAATAAAGATCGCAATGTAATCAAAACGCACTTAATGGTTTCTTCTTGATTTCCGTATTTTCTCCATCACTCTCACCACCCTTTTTCACGGCCGTA